AGTTCTTTAACATTCTAGTATCCATTACCCCCACTTATGGAGCAAGATCATCATTACTACCTACTTCTTTATAAAACCATACTCAAGCGAATATTTTTAACTTTCACTGAGTAGCTTATTATGTATTATGAGGGTTCATATTCTAATTAATTGGCCGAATCTATCTCCTTTATCATCATTTATATTAAATGGTAATATTTTGATTTCACCCAATGCATTCAGACACCTATTATTCTGCCATCAAATTATATTTGACCAGGCAGCCAGAGTATTATAAAACTAGTAACTAATTAATTTGGACTAGTTATCGGAATAAAGTGAGTTTTCTTAATTGAAACTATCCATATTAATTTAATTCTTATTAGCTCCCAGGCGATCCTTAAGAGAGGACATATAATCAAATAAAGCTTTAAGAATGAGCTCTAAATCAAAGTAATTTTATCAAAGCAAAAAATATTTATAAAGATTTCAATCACCCTAACAACAAGGTTAGCATCGTTTTAACTCCATTAGAGAGTTAGCTATGGCTGCCTATATTGTTGATGGTTACTCCTGAAAAAATTTAACTTATTCTATTCCATTCATGTCCCATTTCATCTACTCAACATTAGTATGCTTTATGTATTAGGATTAGGAACTTTTACCTAAAATTGAAATCTTAAGCGATATTCAATAAAGATTTTGGTGATTCTATAAGTGACATTTCCATAAGAAGAGATTAACAAATGACAGCATAGGAAACAATTTTAGTACATTTCTTACCCTCATCCGAATATAAACACTTTCCATTAGTAAATTAAAATGGATCGAGTAAAATTTGAGCTAAAAGATGTCCTTAATGGACTCTATTTTTTTTAAAATAACTATTTCATCATTTTTACCCTTCCAATATGTATATCTAATCAGATATCCATTCCAGAGCTATTAACTCATTTGGCAAAAGGAGACCTAAATAGCTTATCTTCCCTTAAGCATTAGAAGATTCCATCCCCTTTAACAATTTATATGCATTGCATAAGTCAAGGAAAACATACAATCAATTGCCTTTTTCTTTTATTCCCTCATTAATCTAAATATTAGGCTTAGCATACAAGGCGAGATATAAATCTTGTCCATCCAGATGATATTAAACCAGAACAAAGTATTTAAATCAATTAATATAATTTGCTTCTACAACCTTGATAAAGAGGATCTGGACCATAATTGCAAGGAGCATTTTCTTAAAGGTTAATTTTGGTACATTTTGTTTAATCGTACCAGTCTCAAGGATAATAGCTAATTAAACTGTTGAATTTCATTAACTTGAATGTGATATTCTTGTTTTACAAATAGATTTCAATAAACATTGTTGGTGAAATTAAAGAGAGATATTATAAGTCTATATGTATAATGAAAAGTTGTTTTAATTCAAAACAAATCCCCTTTTGAAGTTGAGAAATTTCATGATAAAATTTCATATTTCTTTAGTTTAGTGTGTTGTAAAGCTTTTTAGAAAAAGCGCAATCAACTTGCATTTAGTGGCTTCGAAAGGATGCTCATTCTTTTAACAATCTCACAACCTATTAATTTAGAACCATTTAATTACTTACTTTCATATACTCATACACAATCCCATATTAGGCTTTTATAATTTAAATCATAGTTATTTCGCATGAATTAGAGGAATCAGAAAAAGTTCCATATACCTTTCAATAACAACCTTGAGAACGATGATCAGATATATAATTGAAACCTAAATCTTCACCTGGCTGACCCTCATCCTTTTTGCGTGATGACATAATCTAGTCTCCTTTCTTTCAACCTTCCTTTCATATCCTAGTGAAATCTCAAAGAAATCACATCATAAACATCATCCCTAGCTTGAAGAGCATAGTTAAAATCACCTCATATAGCATTTGGGCGTATTTAAACGACTAAAACATCAATATACATTCCTTTTCGTTCCTTTGACAGTGTGGAAGCTCACAACTCCTAATTATTTATAAATTAAAATATTGTATTAAATTTAATTTGAGTGTTCAGCTATCTAATAGCAGGAATTTTATAATGTACCAATGACATAATTGGCTACCCTTCTCTTTATAAATCGTTTGGTATTATAATAGTTCAAATTCTTATTCATCATTGGATTTAGCATTCCAAACAAGGTTAACCTCTGAAAGATGAACAATTAATTTTGTTTTTAAATATTTTATACTCGCTAAGTTATATCCTTAAAATACCAACTGATGATTCTAACCTGCCTAACCTTAGATATCCTTAATGAATCAGCTAAATGTGCAGAAACTTCATCTCTTTAAGGCCCATACTCTTTAATTCTCATTCTACTAATTGGCCCCAGGTCCTAAAGAATGCCTACAGCTCCTTCCTTACTTGTCGATGGAGACAGACTTAGTTCAAATCCTATTCAAGGCTTATGATGGGAAAGAGGAGAATGCACAGTTAGTATTAGAGATTCCTAAATTCTATGTCTTAAACTTAAATGAATTATGGGGTTTTCATATATTTTTTCTTTGTTACTTTTTAATCTAGGTAATTAAAGACATTCCCAAACATGAAATCATTTTTATTACGAAATTTGTATATCGTTCAAATTGAATTATCCTTTCATTTACCACGGTCGTTACCAAAATTTTATATTTGAAATCCATCATTTATTTCCATTTCAATTTTGCTATGTGATACTAACTATTTCTGATCATTTATAAGTTTACTTTCATATTTAAGCAAACAAGAAGAAGTTCATCTAATTCTTTTATTTCGTTAGTTCAGCATTTTAAATCATCATTAATTTTCTGTTTGAATTTATAAGATATTATTCTCTCATCTTTAAGAAATTAGGTTCCAATTAAAATACTCCTTCAATATTTTCTCATAGATGCACCTAAAATGGTTCAATCATATTAAGTATTGCTTTTTCGGACTTTGGTTTCCTTAATATATTTTTCTTCAACTCTAAATCTTTTATCTAATTAACTTATTTCTTCTTAATTTCTTTTCGTTTAGCATTGCATCATTTGAATCTGCTTCCACTTAATAATTGAGTTTTCAAAATTTATATAATTTTATTTCAAAATATTGAATGAGAACAATTATCTAATTTGGCTTTTTAGCACCCAATTTTAAATCATCTATAAGTTCTAAACTGCATAATATTCTAAATAATTTTTGAAATTTTAATAGTTGAAATCAAACTATTAATCTTTTTATCATCATCAGAATGAGTATGATGGATTCCCTTTTAAAACAGTCAAAATAATTTAATCGAAATCCGATACAATACTCATGATAACAAATAAAATCAATCTCTTCCTTATGGTTATCTTTTTAACATTTTAACTTCAAACTTCCTTATTAAATCATTTTTTATATTTTAATAATAATAATAATAATAATAATAATAATAATAATAATCTTTTTGGTTTCTTTTTTCCATAATTTCCTGACCTTTTCATCGAACTAGCAAAATGTAAATCTTCTAAAAAGAAACTCTTCTAAGCTTTCTCTATTACTAATTTATTTTAAATTGGCTCATCAATTTACCCTTTTACATAAAATTCCTAATAAACATTCAGACACCAAAGATCCTCCTAGTTTACTTAATGAGGCGATATTGAACAAGGAAAGCCCAATAAGGGACTGAATTTTGTTAGCTCAAATGTATATTGTTTTTGAAATTCAGATTTAAAAAAAAATTTAATTTGTAATATAATTCTGTTTTTTTTCAATTTCTATTTCTTAATATATTAATTTTCATTTACAATGATAATTATTTTGAGGGTTGATTATTTAAGCAGCTTAATAAATTATCTTTTATCTTTTATTTTTTTCAATTAAAGCTAATAAAGGGGAATAGCAACAAATAGTCATAGATATAATACAAAGAAAATTAGGAGAAGAATCTTGGTAAAATATATTTAATGTTTAATTTAGCAAAACATGAAATGAAGTTAAATTAGTATACAGGTTTATAAATCCTATCATAAGAAGGATAATTCTAGTTACTATAAACTCAATTAATATTTGCTTTACAATATCTTTGCAGATTATACCAATAGTAGAACAATTGTGTTAACAAAGCTTTAGATAACTAATAAATGAAAATAAAACTCTCCTTTCTGCTTCAAAGATTTCAAACTCAAATTATACTAATTTCACCTTACAATTGTTTTGAGATTAAATAAAATCATACTATCTCTTTACTATTTATATAAAAAGATATTTCAAATATATAATTCAAAAACACTAATAACAAGAAGACAACTAGAAATATTCAGCTCGGCTCAAAGCTAGAGAATTTAACATTTTTTTATATTTATTGTTTAGATATGATTCTATTATTTAAATAATCAATACTTCTATTTATATTTATAAAGACTCAATTTATACTCATTTTTAGTATTAATTTCTTGTGGATACTCAATGAGGAGAAACAAAAATAATAGACAGTAACAATTTAAATTATTGATAATCACGAGAGAAGATGCTTACTTAAATTATAATAATTAATTTTTATTGAAAAAATTAAATGGAAGGACTGAAATTATTTGTTCAATTAGATGCTTAAATAAGAGGAGAAAAATTAATGAGAAAAGAAATACAATTAAATAAATTAAAGTGGAGGCTTATTCAACTGAATGGACTAAAAGATTATTTACGAATAATATATAAAAATGATCAATACCACATAATAGTTCTATAATAATTATTCAATTATTTTTAAAAACTGCTCTGATGATGGTAATAAAACAATATATTTTAATTAAATGTATAAACCATAAATGATAGAAAAAGCGCAAGACTTTAGTTGTTCCATTAAACACAAACTACCAATAAGTATGGTGATAGGACTTAAAAAACTCATCCAAACGATAGAAGAAAAACTAAGAAGAAATAATTAGAACACTTAGAAAATATGATTTCACCAATGATAACAAAAATTTAGTCACTTTTAGGTCAGCTAAATACTTTGAAGTTTTTCCTTGTTTTACAATTCGACAATGGATTGGATATCAAATTTATAATCATTAGGTTTAAAGTAATAAAAATATAGTCTCTATAAGGAATTAGAAGTAATGATCAAGTATTAAAAATCAAATGAAAATGATTAGATTGATGAAACAAATTAGATTAAATTACTAAATGATTCTTTTTCCACTAAAATTGATAATAAGTTAGATTCATTCAAATAATATTAGGAATATTAAAAATGTCAACAAATATTACAAGAATTGTCATCTTAATTCTATTAATAATCAATATATGTTCAAATATAATTGTTAAATTTAGAGATCCTAAATTTCAAGGAAGTGGAGTTAAAGTGTATTAAACTTCTTAATCTTGGTTGAATAGCTTTGAAGTAAAATATTAATTGCATATTAGTTTCCAAAATATCGATAGCCAGCATGAATTGATTTATTTTTATACATTAATATAAGTTCCTCTTTATTAAAACATAAATAATAAATGATATTTTTCAATATAAGGGTACAGGTTGTGTAGAATTTTTCAAAATATATTAGGAACCCAAGTCTTATAATTAAAATTCATTTTATTGCCTCAAACATTGTTAGCTCGAATAATATAGAGAGATAAAAATGAAAATAAAGATTAATAACCACCCATAATTTCATGTTGTTGTGTTTAAAATACAATACATTTTAATCTCAAAGCATATATTTACGTGATTTCATGAATTGTATAAAAATATTAAGAAAAAAATTAGTTTAGGTAATTTAATTGATGAAACATTATTTGGTATTTATCAATATATTACTTTGATAATTCTGATGAAGTTGACACATTTCTTAAATCATACAAAAATATAATGTTTTTATGATTATTTATTTATGGATATTTTGGATTTTATTGTAAATGTTTTAAAATGATTTTTTATTTGATGAGATAGTA